CAGGTGTTTATATGTTTGTGGGTTAATACCCGGGTCTTTCGATTCCATAGGTCGACTTCTCTGTTGTTATGCCAATACCAAGCTGTTTTCGATACTGCTGCTCTGTAATAGAGTTTGAAGTCAGGGATGGTAATGCCTCCAGAAGTTCCTTTATTGTATAAGATTGTTTTGGCTATCCTGGGTTTTTTGTTTTTCCATATAAACTTGATTATTGTTCTCTCAAGGTCTGTGAAGAAGTTTGATGGAATTTTGATGGTAATTGCATTGAATCTATAGATTGCTTTTGGTAGAATTGCCATTTTTACTATGTTGATTCTCCCAATCCAAGAACAGGGGAGATCTTTCCATTTTCTGGTATCCTCCTCAATTTCTTTCTTCAAGGACTTAAAGTTCTTGTCAAATAGGTCTTTCACTTCCTTGGTTAGAGTTACCCCAAGATATTTTATGCTGTTTGTGGCTATCATGAAAGGTGATGTTTCTCTGATTTCCCTCTCTGCTTCTTTATCCTTTGTGTATAGGAGGGCAGCCGATTTTTTGGAGTTGATCTTGTATCCTGCCCCATCACCAAAGGTGTTTATCAGCTGTAGGAGTTCTTTGGTAGAGTTTTTGGGGTCGCTTATGTACACTATCATATCGTCAGCAAATAACGAAAGTTTAACTTCATCCTTTCCAATTCGAATCCCCTTGATCCCCTTATGTTGTCTTATTGCTATTGCTAGGACTTCAAGCACTATATTGAAGAAGTATGGAGAGAGTGAACAGCCTTGTCGTGTTCCTGATTTTAGTGGAATGGCTTTGAGTTTCTCTCCGTTCAATTTGATGTTAGCTGTCGGCTTACTATATATTGCTTTTATTATATTTAGGTATGATCCTCATATACCCAATCTCTCCAACACCTTTATCATAAAGGGGTGTTGAATTTTGTCAAAAACTTTTTTCAGCATCCAATGAAATGATCATATGGTTTTTTTCTTTCAATTTATTTATATGATGGATTACATTGATAGATTTGCATATGTTGAACCAGTCCTGAATCTCTGGGATGAAGCCCACTTGATCATAATGGATAATTTTTCTAATGTATTCTTGGATTCGGTTTGCCAGTATTTTATTGAGTATTTTGGCGTCAATGTTCATGAGTGAGATTGGTCTGTAATTCTCTTTCTTGGTTGTGTCATTGTGTGGTTTTGGTATCAGGGTAACTGTAGCTTCATAAAAAGAGTTTGGCAATGATTCTTCTGTTTCTATATTGTGACATACATTAAGGAATATAGGTATTAGCTCTTCCTGGAAGTTCTGGTAGAATTCTGCATTGAAACCATCTGGACCTGGGCTTTTTTTGGTGGGGAGGTTTTTGTTTTTTGTTTTTTTTTGAAAGTAAATTTTTTTTATTTTTTAAAAGTTTCCTTTTCCGCCCCTCTTCCCAACACCCTCCCACTCCCCCACTCCCTCTCCTCCTCCCTCTTCGTCCCTTAGGGCAGTCAGGGTTTCCTGCCCTGTGGGAAGTTCAAGTTAATCCCCCCTCCATCCAGGTCCAGGAAGGTGAGTATCCAAACAGACTGGATCCCCAAAATCCAGTATATTCAGAGGAAACAGGTCCCAGTATCATAGTCAATGGCTTTTCAGAAAGACTTCGGGCCAGCCACATTCAGAGAATCCGGCCAAATTCCTAGAATCTGGTTAGATCACGTGCTCGTTCAGTCCCAGTCCAACTGGCCTTGGTAAACTCTCATTAGATCCGTTCCTTTGTATCAGTGGGTGATAGCATCCCTCGCAGTCCTGATTTCGTTTTTCATGTTCTTCCTCCTTCTGCTCCTCATTTGGACCTTAGGGGGCTCAGTCTAGTGCTCCAAATTGGGTCTCCATCTGTATTGCCGTCCTTCGCCAGATGAAGGATCTATGGTGATAAGCAAAATATACATCAGTATGGTTATGGGCCACGGTGGGGAGGTTTTTGATAACAGCTTCTAATTCTTCGCGACTAACAGGTCTATTTAGACTGTTCACTTGCTCTTAATTTAACTTTGGTAAATGGTATTTATCTAAAAACCAATCCATTTCCTGTACATTTTCCAACTTTGTGGCATATAAACTCTCGTAGTAAGATCTAATGATTCTCTGAATTTCCACTGTGTCTGTTGTTATGTCCCCCTTTTCATTTCTGATCTTATTAATTTGAGTGTTCTCTCTCTGCAGTTTGATTAGTTTGGCTAGGGGTTTGTCAATCTTGTTGATTTTCTCCAAGAAGCAACTTTTTGTTTTGTTGATTTTTTGGATTGTTTTCTGTGTTTCTATTTTGTTGATTTCAGCCCTCAGTTTGATTATTTCCAATCTTCTACTCCTCCTGGGAGAGTCTGCTTCTTTTTTTTTCCAGAGCTTTTAGGTGTGCTATTAAGTCTCCAATATATGCTTTCTCCGTTTTCTTTAATTGGGCACTTAGCGCTATGAACTTTCCTCTTAGAACTGCTTTCATTGTGTCCCATAGGTTTGAGTTGTTGTGTCTTTATTTTCATTAAATTCAAGGAAGACTTTAATTTCTTTCTTTATTTCTTCCTTGACCCAAGGATGATTCAGAAGTTGACTGTTCAACTTCCACACGTTTGTAGGCTTTCTGGAATTCGAATTGTTATTGAATTCTAACTTTATTCCGTGGTGATCTGACAAGACACAGGTGATTACTAATTTTTTTTGTATCTGTGTAAGTTTGCTTTGTTACCGAGTATGTGGTCAATTTTCGAGAAGGTTCCATGAGCTGCAGAGAAGAAGGTATATTCTTTCCTTTTTGGGTAGAATGTTCTATAGATATCTGTGAAGTCCATTTGATTCATTACCTCTAGCAATTCTCTTATTTCTCTGTTGAGTTTCTGTTTGATTGATCTGTCCATTGGTGAGAGAGGTGTGTCGAAGTCTCCTACTATTTTTGTGTGTGGTTTGATGACTGCCTTGAGTTCTAAAAGTTTTTCTTTTACATAAGTGGGTGCTTTTATATTAGGGGCGTAGATATTCAGGATTGAGACTTTCTCCTGATTAATTGTTCCTGTTAAGAGTATGAAATGTCCATCTCCATCTCTTCTGATTGATTTTAGTTTGAAGTCAATTGTGTTAGATATTAGAATGGCCACACCAGCTTGTTTCTTAGGTCTGTTTGCTTGGAAAACCTTTTCCCAACCCTTTACTCTGAGTAGATGTTTATCTCTGTGGTTGAGGTGTGTTTCTTGTAAACAGCAGAATGTTGGATCCTGTTTCCTTATCCAGTCTCTAAGTCTGTGCCTTTTTATAGGTGAGTTGAGTCCATTAATATTAAGTGATATTAATGACCAGTGGTTGTTGATTCCGTTTATTATTTGTGTGTGTGTGTAGTAGAGTTTGTGTGTTTCTCTTCTTTGAGTTGTGGTTGTGAAGGGTCGCTAGATGTCTGGGTTATTGTAGGCAGTGATGGCAATTGGGATAGTACATTGAGCTGGAACAGTGAAGTTAGAAGAACATCTGAGAGATCTATTCTAGATAGGGGAAGTAGCCACAGATTTTTCTGTGTCAAAATTGGGGAGGACACTGGGGGATTGGATCTAGAGGGGCACAGGGAAATGAAAAATCTGCAGCCAGCCCACCTGTATCCCTGACAAAAGTCAGAAAAACAATTCTTAATGAAAAATATAAAGGAGCAACAAAACCAGGAAAATTTGATCATTCAAAATGATTTTGATTCCTTAATGTTTTCTTTCACGAACAGAAAGTTTCCATTTATGTAGCAACACCAAAGACTCTTTGCCTTTTCAAAATCTTTTACTTTCTCATTTATTATTTATTCTAAATAAATTTAATAAATAAATTAAATGAAATTTATTATTATCTAGCTGTATCTGCTGCATGACTGTGCAGTTTTACATAAGTTTCCTGTTCTAAAAATTCAACACATCATATTCTGTTATTGCCATGATCATTTACCTTCCCATAAAATATTATGAATCTTTGAAAAATATGTAATAAAAGTTTGGCATCAGCAATACCTTTAGAGTTCCATGAAAAGGGCTAGAATTCAAAGCAAAGTCTCCACTATTCTAAGGTTCTGCCTTCTTATAACTGTCTTCTTTGATTAACAATTTGGACAGTGAACATTTGTGATTCCAGTATATAGGTATCTGAAGCAAGAAGATTATGAATATGATGGATATCTGAGTAATAGAATGATATCTTAACTCAAAACAGAATAAAAGCTCCCTGAAATACCCCAAAGTAATTAATATTGACATCATTCTTATGAAAGTGCTGCAAAACTATATTATTCTTATTTACCCATAGGAAACAGTATTACATGGTGTAAACATTAACTTCTCTCAAAATCTTTGTGCAGACTGCCTTCAATCTCAATTATCACTGCCTGAAAGTATCTCTATAAGTCTCTTTAAATGCTCAAGCAAGTGGGGTATGGTGGTGCACACCTTAAATGCCAGCACTTATGAGGCAAATTCAGGTGGTGGATCCCTTACCTATTTGAGCTTGAGGTCAGTACAGTCTCCATATTAAGTTCCATCCCACCAACCAAGGCTGCATAGTGAGACCCTGTCTAAAGGAAAAAATATCCCAGTGCATTTAGTGGGTGTGTTGGCATACATCTGTGAACACAACATTACAGAATTGGAAACAGGAGGATCACATGCTCCAGGTCTTCATCTACTACAAAGTAAGTTTAAGAACAGTCTTGCTATGTGAGATCCTGTCTCTAGTATCCTCTCCTCCCTAAAAGAAATCAGTCTCTGTCTTTTAGGTACAGGCATCAGACACATTGCACTCCCAACTCATTACAAAATGCTGTGTGTGTGACTTCTGCCATCTGTAAATGTCCTGTTTCTTTCCTCAAATCTTTCAATGCTTTTGCATTTCACGGCGTTATTTCTTTTTCCATGCACCCATATCAGTGTCCATCCACAGTTATCTTCGCTGCATCTGTTCTCTCAGATCTCTCTGTTCATTAGCATCTTTTTTGTTTCTTCTCTTTTTAGGATACAAGAGGAACCATAGAGAAGATCTGTGACTTCTTAGGAAAGAAATTAGAGACAGATGAGCTGGATCTGGTCCTCAAGCACAGCTCCTTCCAAGCCATGAAAGAAAATAAAATGTCCAATTTTAGCCTCATTCCAGAAGATGCGGTTACTAATGGTTTGAATCTCATGAGGAAAGGTGAAGAAAATTATATCCAGCTTCAAAAATATGTCAGAATATGTGGAGAACTTGTTGTTTCAATGAGACTATAAAAAGTCAGGAATGTTTCAAAAGTCATTGCTCATTACAACATAGTTTCTTACAGACCTTGCAATGGAATCTTTTCATGTTGATGATGTGGCTTTCAGGAACTCTGAAAAAGAATTGACTTGTTGTGGGAGAGTATCTTGGCATTGCATATGTACAGTATTCTCAATGTGAAAGAAAGTGCAGACATACTGCAATGAGACTCTGTAAGGCTCCCAGTGTCTTAGAACTCAATTATAAAGAAAATGTCAATGCATGGGACCAAAGATATATCTGGGATCACAAACACTGAAATGACTTCCTTCAAAATGATTTGAAGAGATATTGAATATGTCAAGATTGCTGACTCATAGCAGGCTGACTCTAGTCCCATAAAAAGCAAATTGTTCACCACTGCTACAATACGATGGCAATTTCCAACCTAAATTTGAATTGCTTCAGACTCAGGGCTACTCAGTTGATTCTGAATTGTCTCTCCTGGAATGGTAATATCCATCCTCTCTATGGCTGTGCTACCTCTCTATACTGGGAAGAGTTTTTTGGCATGATTTCATTGCTGTAAAAACTAAGGAGTAACTTTGCCAGAGTGTATAACACCTGGAATCTCACCTACACCTTACTAGCAAATAATTGGTGAGATGGGACTCTGCTGAAGAAGGAATGAGTCGGATATCATGTCTCTGGAGATGAGTAAAGAACTTGGGTATAGATGCAGGAAGCAGAGAATAATGGATTTCATTTTCTTCTACCAATAATTTAGATGCTTCAGCCTTAACCTTCAAGCTTCCTCCATCATAGAATGGTGGATCATGAGACCAAAATAACATTTAAGCTTATTCTCTTCCAAAATATAGTGTGGATCATGTATCATATATCTCAAGAGGATATATTTATATTTATTTACATACACACATATGTGTGTGTGTGATTGTATGTGTGTATATGTGTGTTTGTGTATGAATGTCTAAGACATTAATCTTAGACAAAGACAGAAAAAGACCTAGGGAGAAGGCCACTACAGGCCATAAGAAAGGCCAGGGACAGTCTGATCAAAAATATTTTTGTGAGACCTACAGCTACCAGAACTATTAGGAATTTTCTTATCAAGAAGAGTTAAGCCATCATGTAGTAGGGTTATCTTGTCCCCTGACACACCAGTGTTTGAGGAGATTATTAAAAAAGAAGTATTTACTTGCAAGGTGCACAGGATATTTACATATTGTAACTTAGAACTTTATGTGTGTACCTTCAAAGACATACTTCTCTTTTTTTTTGTAATTTTATTAAATTATAAAAAGTTTCCATTTACGCCCCTCCTCCCAACGCCCTCCCACTCCCCCCCTCCCTCTCCTCCTCCCTCTTTGTCCCCAAGGGAAGTCAGGGTCTCCTGCCCTGTGGGAAGTCCAAGTTCCTCCCCCCTCACTCCAGGTCCAGGAAGGTGAGCATCCAAACAGACTGGATCCCAAAAATCCAGTATATGCAGAGGAAACCAGTCCCAGTGTCATTGTCAATGGCTTCTCGGAAAGACTGCAGGCCAGCCACATTCAGAAAATCCAGCCACATTCAGAGAATCTGGTTGGATCACATGCTCGTTCAGTCACGGTCCATCTGGCCTTGGCAAACTCTCATTAGATCCGACCCCTTGTATCAGTGGGTGATAGTATCCCTCGCAGTCCTTCGTCATTTTCTTCCTCCTTTTGCTCCTCGTTTGGATCTTGGGGGGCTCAGTTCGGTGCTCCAACGCGGGCCTCCATCTGTATCGTCATCCAACGCCAGATGAGGGATCTATGGTGATAAGCAAAATATTCATCAGTATGGTCACGGGCCAAGGCCGGTTCAGGCACCCCCTCCTCTGTCCAGAGAACAATCTGGGGATCTCTCCTTGGACCTGGGATCCCATATATAATCAAGTTTCCTGTAAACTCTAATATGACTCTCTTAGTTGAAATATATTCTTCCCTGATCCCATATTCATCCTTCCTCCCTTCCCCCCATCCCGGTCAACCGAGCTTTCTCCATTCCTCCCCTACTCCCTTCTCTCTAACCCTCTCCCCTTCCAACAACCCCCCCCCCCCCCCCCATACACCCAAGGTTACCTGGGACTCTTGACTATTTCCTACCTCCTGGCGGATAGGTAAATAATCTTCATCAGGTTCGTCTTCTTATTTAGCTTCTCTAGGATCACGAATAATAGGCTCAAAGACCTTTAATTATGGTTAGAATCCACTTATGAGTGAATACATACCGTGTTCCTCTTTTTGGGTCTGGCTTACCTCACTCAGTAAAGCGTTTTCTATGTCCATCCATTTGCATGCAAAATTCAAGATGTCATTATTTTTTACCGCTGAGTAAAACTCTAATGTGTATATGTTCCACACCTTTTTTAACCATTTTCTATTGAGGGGCACCTAGGCTGTTTCCAGGTTCTGGCTATTACAAATAGTGCTGCTATGAACATAGTTGAACAAACGCTTTTGTAGTATGTTTGGGCATCTCTAGGGTATATTCCCAAGAGAGGAATTGCTGGGTCCTGAGGGAGGTTGACTCCCAGTTTCCTGAGAAACCGCCACACTGATTTCCAAAGTGGCTGCACAAGTTTGCATTCCCACCAACAATGGATGAGTGTTCCCCTCATTCCACATCCCCTCCAGCATAGGCTATCATTGGTGTTTTTAACTTTAGCTATTCTGACAGGTGTAAGATGGTATCTCAAAGTGGTTTTGATTTGCATTTCCCTGATCGCTAAGGAGGTTGAGCATGACCTTAAGTGTCTTCTGGCCATTCGAAGTTCATCTGTTGTGAATTCTCTGTTCAGATCAGTACCCCATTTTTTAATTGGGTTAATTAGAGTTTTAGTGTCTAGTTTCTTGAGTTCTTTGTATATTCTGGAGATCAGACCTTTGTCTGATGAGGGGCTGGTGAAGATCTTCTCCCAGTCAGAAGGCAGCCTTTTTGTCTTACTGACAGTGTCCTTTGCTTTACAGAAGCTTCTCAGTTTCAGCAGGTCCCATTTATTCATTGTTTCTCTTATTGTCTGTGCTGCTGGGGTCCTACTTAGGAAGTGGCCTCCTGTGCCTATATCTTGTAGACTACTTCCCACTTTCTCTTCTATCAGGTTCAAAGTGGACAGATTGATGTTGATGTCTTTAATCCATTTGGACTTGAGTTTTGTGCATGGTGATAGATATGGATCTATTTTCATTCTTCTACAGGTTGACATCCAGTTATGCCAGCACCATTTGTTAAAGACGCTTTCCTTCTTCCATTGTATACCTTTAGCTCCCTTGTCAAAAATTAGGTGTTCGTAGGTTTGAGGGTTAGTATCTGGGTCTTCTATTCGATTCCATAGGTCGACTTCTCTGTTCTTATGCCAATACCAAGCTGTTTTCAATACTGTAGCTCTGTAATAGAGTTTGAAGTCAGGGATAGTAATGCCTCCAGAAGTTCCTTTATTGTATAAGATTGTTTTGGCTATCCTGGGTTTTTTGTTTTTCCATATAAACTTGATTATTGTTCTCTCAAGGTCTGTGAAGAAGTTTGATGGGATTTTGATGGGGATTGCATTGAATCTGTAGATTGCTTTTGGTAGAATTGCCATTTTTACTATGTTGATTCTCCCAATCCAGGAGCAGGGGAGGTCTTTCCATTTTCTGGTATCCTCCTCAATTTCTCTTTTCAAAGGCTTAAAGTTCTTGTCAAATAGGTCTTTCACATCCTTGGTTAGAGTAACCCCAAGATATTTTATGGTGTTTGTGGCTATCGTGAAAGGTGATGTTTCTCTGATTTCCCTCTCCGTTTCTTTATCCTTTGTGTATAGGAGTGCCACTGATTTTTTGGAGTTGATCTTGTATCCTGCCACGTTACTAAAGGTGTTTATCAGCTGTAGGAGTTCTTTGGTAGAGTTTTTGGGGTCGCTTATGTACACTATCATATTGTCTGCAAATAACGAAAGTTTCACTTCATCCTTTCCAATTCGAATCCCCTTGATCCCCTTATGTTGTCTTATTGCTATTGCTAGAACTTCAAGCACTATATTGAAGAGGTATGGAGAGAGTGGACAGCCTTGTCGTGTTCCTGATTTTAGTGGAAAGGCTTTGAGTTTCTCTCCATTCAATTTGATATTAGCTGTCGGCTTGCTGTATATTGCTTTTATTATATTTAGGTATGATCCTTGTATCCCCAGTCTCTCCAACACCTTTATCATAAAAGGGTGTTGAATTTTGTCAAACGCTTTTTCAGCATCCAATGAAATGATCATATGATTTTTTTCTTTCAGTTTATTTATATGATGGATTACATTGATAGATTTGCGTATGTTGAACCAGCCCTGCATCTCTGGGATGAAGCCTACTTGATCATAATGGATGATTTTTCTAATGTATTCTTGGATTCGGTCTGCCAGTATTTTATTGAGAATTTTCGCATCGATGTTCATGAGTGAGATTGGCCTGTAATTCTCTTTCTTGGTTGTGTCTTTGTGTGGTTTTGGTATTAGGGTGACTGTAGCTTCATAAAAGGAGTTTGGCAGTGACTTTTCTTTTTCTATATTGTGGAATACATTAAGGAGTATAGGTATTAGCTCTTCCTGGAAGTTCTGGTAGAATTCTGCATTGAAACCATCTGGTCCTGGACTTTTTTTGGTAGGGAGATTTTTGATAACAGCTTCTAGTTCTTCACGACTAACAGGTCTATTTAGATTGTTCACCTGGTCTTGGTTCAACTTTGGTATATGGTACTTATCTAAAAAAATGTCCATTTCTTTTACATTTTCCAACTTTGTAGCATATAAACTTTCGTAGTAAGATCTAATGATTCTCTGTATTTCCTCTGTGTCTGTGGTTATGTCCCCCTTTTCATTTCTGATCCTATTAATTTGCAAGTTCTCTCTCTGCCGTTTGATTAGTTTGGATAGGGGTTTGTCAATCTTGTTAATTTTCTCCAAGAACCAGCTTTTTGCTTCATTGATTCTTTGAATTGTTTTCTGTGTTTCTATTTTGTTGATTTCAGCCCTCAGTTTGATTATTTCCAGTCTTCTACTCCTCCTGGGTAAATCAGCTTCTTTTTTTTCTAGAGCTTTCAAGTGTGTTGTTAAGTCTCCAATGTGTGCTTTCTCTGTTTTCTTTAGGTGGGCACTTAGTGCTATGAACTTTCCTCTTAGCACTGCTTTCATTGTGTCCCATAGGTTTGAATACGTTGTGTCTTTGTTTTCATTATATTCAAGGAAGACTTTAATTTCTTTCTTTATTTCTTCCTTGACCCAGGGGTGATTTAGTAGTTGACTGTTCAACTTCCATGAGTTTGTTGGCTTCATGGGGGTACCATTGTTGTTGAATTCTAATTTTAATCCATGGTGATCTGACAAGACACAGGTGGTCACTAATATTTTTTTGTATCTGTGGAAGTTTGCTTTGTTACCAAGTATGTGGTCAATTTTCGAGAAGGTTCCATGAGCTGCAGAGAAGAAGGTATACTCTTTCCTATTTGGGTGGAGTGTTCTATAGATGTCTGTTAAGTCCATTTGATTCAGTACCTCCAGTAAATCTCTTATTTCTCTGTTAGGTTTCTGTCTGATTGACCTGTCCATTGGTGAGAGAGGAGTGTTGAAGTCTCCTACTATTAGTGTGTGTGGTTTGATGACTGCCTTGAGTTCTAGAAGAGTTTCTTTTACATATGTGGGTGCCTTTATATTAGGGGCATAGATATTCAAGATTGAGACTTCTTCCTGATGAATTGTTCCTGTTATGAGTATGAAATGTCCATCTCCATCTCTTCTGATTGATTTTAGTTTGAAGTTGATTTTGTTAGATATTAGAATGGCCACACCCGCTTGTTTCTTAGGTCCATTTGCTTGGAAAACTTTTTCCCAACCCTTTACTCTGAGTAGGTGTCTGTCTTTGTGGTTGAGGTGTGTTTCTTGTAGACAGCAGAATGTTGGATCCTGTTTTCGTATCCAATCTCTAAGTCTGTGCCTCTTTATAAGCGAGTTGAGACCATTGATATTAAGTGATATTAATGACCAGTGATCGATGACTCCGGTCATTTTTTTGGGTAGTAGCGTGTATGTGTTTTCCTTCTTTGAGTTGTGCTTGTGGAGGGTCGCTAGATGTCTGAGTTAATGTAGGCAGTGTTGGGAATGTTGGATTCCTTGGGTTGTGATTTTCCTTATAGTATTCTCTGTAAGGCTGGATTAGTAGCTACGTATTGTTTAAATTTGTTTTTATCCTGGAATATTTTGTTTTCTCCGTTGATAGTGAACAATAGCTTGGCTGGGTAAAGTAGTCTGGGTTTGCATCCATTGTCTCTTAGTTTCTGCAGTACCTCTATCCAGGACCTTCTGGCTTTCATGGTTTCCATAGAGAAGTCTGGTGTAAGTCTGATAGGTTTACCTTTATAAGTTACTTGACCTTTTTCCTTTGCAGCTTTCAATATCCTTTCTTTAGTCTGAATGCTTTGTGTTTTGATTATTATATGACGAGGGGATGTTTTTTTCTGATCCAGTCTATTCGGTGTTCTGTATGCTTCTTGAACCTTCATAGGAATATCGTTCTTTAGGATGGGAAAGTTTTCTTCTATAATTTTGTTGAGTATATTTTCTGGACCTTTGAAATGCAATTCTTCTCCTTCTTCTACTCCTATTATTCTTAGATTTGGTTTTTTTATTGTGTCCCACAGTTCCTGAATGTTTTGTGATGAGAATTTGTTGGATTTGCTGTTTTCTTTGGACAGAGTGTTTAATTTCTCTATGGTGTCCTCAGAGTCTGAGATTCTTTCTTCTATCTCTTGTATTCTATTGGTTAAGCTTGTTTCTGAAGTCTCTGTTCGTTTACCCAGATTTTCCATGGCCAGCCGGCCCTTGGTTTGTGATTTCTTCATTGACTCCATTTCAGTTTTCAAATCTTGAACTGTTTCCATTACCTGCTTGATTGTTTTTTCTTGGTTTCCCAGTGTATCATTCATTGATTTGCTCATTTCTTCGAACTTTTTGTTATATTTCTCATCCATTTCTTTACTCATTTCTTCAATCTTTTTGTTGTACTTCTCATCCAGTTCTTTAAGGGAGTAATTCATATCCTGTTTAAGGGACTCTATTGCTTTCATAATGGCATTTTTGTCAGCTTCTTCTGAATTAAGAGGTTCAAGACCTTCTATTGTAGGGTCATTGGTATCTGGTGTTTTCATGTTGTTTTTTAGATTGTTAGAGGAGTTCTTGCCTTGGCGTCTGCCCATCTCTTCCTTCAAATGCTCTCTATTGGAACCTCTGGTACCAGGTCAGGTTCCCTTGTTGGGCAGGGACTTCACTGACAGAAGGTCTACCTTTCGGCAGGTAGTCTATTGAAACACAGGCCCTCCCTCCTGCCGAGTTGCACTCACAGCCCCGGCACAGCGCACAAGGGAGCTTCTCTGGGGAGATCTTGTGGCCCCAGAGGGAAGGGGGGGAAGAGAGGAAGGTGTGCCTGGATAAAAAAACAATCAAACAGGTAATAGACATACTTCTCTTAACTTGACTCATTCATATTGAATTTCCTGCAGTTCTGGTATGTCCGCATCTTTTCTGGTTTATTAAAAGCCAGGCGTACTGAGGGAAACAATAAAATAACTTGTTCTAAAAGCGATGATAACAATGTTGCTGAAGAGTAGAAAAGGATACTTATGAGATCCCACCATAACAGTTGGCAGTCTTATATTCATATCAAATAATGGTATATTATTTGAATATGGTATATCAATAATTAGCATTTAATTATGAATTCTTCATATTTTCTTTAATTAATACTACTAGAGGCTTAAAATTAACTTCCATGATTCTTCCCAAAAGTAATGTGATGATCTGGAGATATGACTCAGAGGTTAAGAACAGTGACTGTTCTTCCAGAGGTCCTGAGTTCAATTCCTAGCAACCACATGGTGGCTCACAACCATGGGTACTAAGATCTGGTGACCTCTTCTGACCTGCACAGATACATGCAGGCAGAATGATATATACATAATTAACAAACAAATCTTTAATAAAGAAAGTAATATGATAAGGAAAAGGATGACCTTTATTGCCAATCTTTTTTGCTTCATCTGATTTCATCAATATCATGCTGGGTAAAATCTCAGGGACTCATTTTTCTGCATCAGCAAAATGGAACAATGCCAATACCTTCTTCACTCATTCAGGAATGCTTTCAACAAACCCATGTTGAGCATGTTCCCTTTGCCTGATATGCGTTGTTATTAAATGAAAGCTTTTACAATTTAAGAATCATTTTACATTTTGCATTTCAAATATATTAGATTTTGTGCATACATACAAAATAGAAATGAGTAGAGCATGTCAAAGCATCACAACTATAAAATAAAATACAGCAAGGATAAGGGAGTCAGAGTTCTGCTTGGAAGAAAGGAAGAGATGATTACAGTGGCATTACTAAGAAAGCAAAAGAACAAGACATTATTATACGGAAGACATGAGCACTCCAGTGTGAAGGTACACACTATGCAGTGTGAACAGTTGGACAATTTAACAATACAACTAGAGACAAAACCAAAGTATTGTAAAAAGAACAGAGGATGAAATAATGTAGATGTTCATACATTACCAAACACCATACTGATTGAAAACAGGAGTCCTGGGACATTCGTTGCTGACTGTTTCTGGGTCTCCTGCATCTTTATTGCCATGTAGTTCACAACTGTGTGTATCTCTAGCTCCAAGAGGTACGTTGCCTCTAACTTCTGATGGCACATGCTTTCATGTGCACCTATACACATAATTAAAATTAATTTTAAAATATGTTTTAAAAGTTGCTTGCATGCTTTTCAGAACTTCTATAAGTAAACACTAAAATGAAGAAAGAGCAATTGAAGTCAGCTTGGATAACTAAGATAAGAAATTCTGTTTGGATGAACAGTGTGGTGCAATCAGGTATAGTGGGGAGCAGAAATAATCTGGCCATCTAGAGTTTGAGTTAGTGTTGATGCTGTTAGATTTTGTAGTTGACAGGTTGGGAAAGAATAAGGTGTGTCAACAATTCCACAGGGGTAGAAGTCTGTTTGCATATTATTGCAAGGCATAAGAAGGGTTATCTAGGGAGTCACTGATAGTTTCACTTTATATACTGTTTGTTCCTTTTCAAGTATGTGAAAGGAGGATTGAGAAATATGTTAAGCATTTTAAGTTAAGGAGTGATAGTGTTAAGATCATCATTAACCCATCTTTGTGTCTGCTTCATATTTTTCAGGCACGACTGGAGACTGGAAGAATCACTTTACTGTAGCCCAAGCTGAAGCCTTTGATAAAGTATTCCAGGAGAAAATGATTGGTTTCCCACCAGAACTGTTCCCATGGCAATAAATTCTTAAAACTTTTAAATCATGTATTTGTACTGTGAATGACTGGGTGTGGTCAAAAAATAAATCCTATGATTGAATTGTGTCACTCTTTAGTAATTAGTAATAGCATTAGTAATAATGGTATTAGGAGTGGAGTAGTGCTAATTTTATTGTGTGTGTGTTTACACATTCCTGTGTGTAGTGCCTTCAGAGGCCAGAAGAGTGTATTGATTCTCATGGTATTGCAGTTACATGATGCTGTAAGACACCTGCTTTGGGTCCTAGCAACTGAAATCAGATCCTATACAAGGGTAGGGCAATGCTCTTGACCTCTGAATCATCTCTGCAGCTTAAAATCTTGGTGTCTTGAGTCATGAAATAGCAGTTTTGCTTCATTTATTACTGTTCTGTTATACATTGTCAGCTAATTCCAATTTGCTTCATGTGATTCCAGCTTTAAAACAATCCTTGTAATATCTTAGTGGTGCAGGAGGTCCTTCTGTATTTGTGTTCCTTTCATTGGTTATTAAAGAAACTGCCTTGACCTAGTTGATAGGGAAGATTTTAGGTAGGCAGGGAAGACAGAACAGATTTCTGGGAAGAAGGACAATGTGGCAGACACCAAGGATTTCCTGCCTGAGACGGATGCTGGTTAGACTCATGCTGGTTGGTAAGCCACAGTAAAGCAGCAATACATGTTAATGGAGATGGGTTAAACTAATATGTGAGAGCTATTCAATAAGAGGCTAGAGATAATGAGCCAGGCAGTGTTTAAATGAATACAATTTTTGTGTGGTTATTTAGGGGATTAAGCTAGCCAACTTGGACTGGAGAAAGGGGTCCTGTGCTGTTACAATAGAGTGACACCCAACATGGTTGACTAACTCCATGTAAAACCTGAGAGGGCTTGAAAAGGAATTCTAGAAAAAAACCAGAGTTTAACATAGGTTTTTGCTGTTTGCTGCCCACATACCATTCTCATTAGCGTTAAGAAA